TTCACAGGCTCAAACTATAATGCCTGGAAGAAGCGAATGAAAACATTCATGTGGGGGATAGATGTCGATCTGTGGCTTATCATAAAGGATGGACCAGTGGAAATGGATCCAGAGCGTCAAGACGAATGGACAGATATGCAAAAGAAGAGTGCACAGCTTAACTGTCGGGCTATGCATATTCTTCAAACTGCCATTTCGCCTGACGAAATTGACAAGGTAGAGCAGTGTGAAACTGCCAAAGAAATCTGGGGCATCCACGAAGCAACTTACGAAGGTACGTCTAATATCAAAGAAACTCGTATTGACTTATTGATGCATGAATATGAGACTTTCGATATGCAGCCAAATGAAGGGATTCATGATATGTATTCCCGATTCACTGGCTTGACGAACAAATTAAAAGGGTTGGGTAGGATTATTCAATCTAAGGATATGGTTAGAAAAATTCTTCGCACTCTACCTAAGGAATGGCTACCTAAACGGACAGCCATTGAAGAAGCTAGAAACTTGAATACTTTTACTGTGGATGAATTAATGTTTAGTAGGTTCTCTTTTGAGTCATGAGCATGTGATTAAACAAGTGGGTAAGGAAGATGAGCGTCGTAGGAAGAACCTGGCTTTCAAAAGTCATGTTTATGAGTTTGATTCTGACTCTAAAATTGATGCCGATTTCAAAAAAGAACTAGCTATGGTCAGCAAAAAATTTCATCGAATGATGAAATAAAAAAATGACCAAAAGCAACGTTCTGCTGAAAATAGAGGTCACTTTGAGACACAAAATCATCTTCGTGAGTCAAATAATAGATTTTCTGGATCTTCTAGTCGTTATCCTGACAATAGGTTTCCTGAGTTATCCTATAGACAGAATGAAGTTATGAATCATGCTGGAAACTCAGGAAGAAATATTGCTAATACTGGTCGTTTTAAAACTGCTTCTTTTGAGAGATATGCTTCACTGGAAAAGGACATGAATGGCGGAGCAACTGATCGTGAACCTCAAGGTTGTTACAAGTGTGGAAGAATAGGACACGTCAGAGCAAATTGCCCTCTAACAAAGAGAGCCAGAGAGAAGGCCTTAGCAGTATCTTGGAGTGATTATGAATCAGAAAATGACGGGGAAGGACAAACTGAGGTAGCTTACATGGCTAAAGAGAGCAATTTCGACTCAGATCAGCACTACAATGAGGACTTCTACGAAACAGAGAGCAAATGGTACTTGGACAGCAGGTGTTCTCACCATATGACAGGTAACGAAACTCTTTTCTGTACTTTGGATTTTAAAATGGGAGGTGAAGTAGTGTTTGGAGATAACAATGCTGGCAAAATTGTTGGACAAGGAACTATTGGCCTGTCCCCTATGCCAACTGTTAAAAACGTAATGCTAGTTGATGGACTTAAGCATAATTTATTGTCAATTAGTCAACTATGTAGTAGTGGAAACAAGGTCACTTTTGAGTCATCTCACTGTTTGGTAGAACGTATAAGTGATAACAAGGTCATGTTTATAGGAAATCAAATAGGCAATATGTATGTAATTGACCTATGTGACCTTGATGCTTTTAATGAAAGATGTCTAGTGTCTCAAGCCTATCAGCAAGAGACAATCTTGCACAAAAAACTCGGACATATTAGTTTGAAGAGACTTGCATCTCTATCCAAATCAAAACTAGTCCGTGGTATTCCTAATCTAAAAGAGCGAAATGATTTCTTTTGTACTGCTTGTGCTGCTGGAAAACACTCCAGAAAACCTTTCAAGGCCATCTCTGACATTACAACCAACAAACCTTTTGAACTAATTCATACGGATTTGTTCGGTCCTTGTACTGTCACTAGTCTTGGTGGAAACAATTACGTGTTTGTCTTAGTTGATGATTTTTCTATATACACTTGGATTTTCTTTCTTGCTAGCAAGGATGAAACTTTTAAAAAATTTGAATCTTTTGTCAAAATGCACTCTGATGTGAAGGGTATTAAAATCATAATGGGGGTGAGTTTGTATCTGAAGAATTCTCTGAATTCTGCGAGGCTAGGGGTATAAAACACATGTTCTCTGCACCGCGCACTCCTCAACAAAATGGGGTAGTTGAGCGAAAGAATCAAACATTAATAGAAACTGCTCGTACTATGCTACTTGACTATGATCTCCCTAAGTATTTATGGGCAGAAGCAGTAAGCACTGCTTGCTATGTTATTAATAGGGTTCTGGTTCGCAAATTGATCAACAAAACCCCTTATGAAATTCTGAAAAACAAGACACAAAATATCTCCTATTTTCATCCTTTCGGGTGTCGTTGCTTTACCTTAAATACAAAAGATACCCTTGGAAAATTCGATGCCAAGTCGGATGAATCCATCTTTTTAGGGTATTCTTTGAAAGGTCAAGCCTACAGGGTTTATAACAAACGTACCAAGAAGGTAGAAGAATCTGTGCATGTCTTATTTGATGATACTGATTCTACTACTAAGATTCCTAAGACAGGAAACAACATTTTCGACCTCTTTGAGTTGACTCATTGGGATGACAATCCGTCCCCAAAAGTCACACCTGTTGAGGAAGAAATACAAACAACCGGTTCTGATTTGATCAAGACCACCTCTGAAGGAGAATCAACATCTATTTTAGACACAGATAAGAACATCCAAGCACCACCTCACATTCAGAAACGACATCCAGAAAGCCAAGTCATAACATTACAGATGGACTCCGAACTCGAGGTAAGTACACTCCTGGACAATATGCTTATATTTCTAAAGTAGAACCTAAATCATACAAAGAAGCATTACATGATGAGGAATGGGCATATGTTATGTTGGAAGAATTAAATCAGTTTGAGTACTTAAAAGTTTGGGAACTTGTTCCTAGACCTCTAGGAAAAACTATTATAGGAACCAAATGGGTTTTTAGGAATAAGTCGCATGAAGATGGTAATATTATTCGCAACAAGGCACGCCTTGTTGCGCAAGGGTATTGCCAAGAGGAAGGAATAGATTATGATGAGACGTTTGCTCCCGTAGCTCGTCTTGAATCAATCAGATTGCTATGTGCTTTTGCGTGCAATAAGAATTTTCCTTTATATCAAATGGACGTTAAAAGTGCTTTTTTAAATGGTCACATCCAAGAGGAGGTTTATGTGTCTCAACCTCCCGGATTTACTGATTTTCAGCACCCTGATTATGTTTATAAGTTAAACAAAGCTCTTTATGGGTTAAAGCAAGCCCCAAGAGCTTGGTTTGATCGTTTAACTACATTTCTTTTGGAGCAAGATTTTACTCAAGGGTCAGTTGACAAAACTTCATTCACTAAAACTTCTGCTGGTCACTTTCTTACAGTTCAAGTGTACGTAGATGATATAGTTTTTGGATCAACCAATCCTTCCATGTGTTCTGACTTTTGTGAAGCAATGAAATCCGTATTCGAAATGAGTATGATGGGGGAGCTTCAGTTTTTCCTTGGTCTTCAGTTTAAACAAACTGCACATGGTACTTTTATCAGTCAGTCTAAATACATTAACACCATGCTGCACAAGTTTAATCTTTTCAATGTCAATTCCAGCCCAACTCCAATGGCTGTGAATCTCAAATTGGACAAAGATGAAAACGGCATAACAGTAGATGAAAAATTATATAGGGGAATGATTGGTTCCCTCATTATTTGACTGCAAGTCGGCCTGATATCCAGTATAGTGTGTGCTTATGTGCCAGATTTCAGGCTGCACCCAAAGCCAGTCACTTGGCTACAGTTAAACGTATATTTCGATACTTAAAGGGCACTGTCAATGTAGGTCTCTGGTATCCTAAACAAACTTGTTTTGATCTGATTGGTTATAGTGACTCAGACTTTGCTGGAAGTCTTACTGATCGCAAGAGCACAAGTGGTTCCTGTCAATTCGTTGGAACTTCACTTGTCTCTTGGTCATGTAAGAAACAAGGAGCAGTAGCCCTCTCCACTGCCGAAGCTGAATACATAGCAGCTGGAGGATGTTGTACTCAACTCCTCTGGCTCAAATATCAACTAGAAGATTATGGTTTAACTGTTCCTATCATTCCTTTGTTTTGTGATAACACTAGCACGATCTGCATGTCCAAAAATCCAGTGCAGCACTCTCGCACTAAACACATTGAAATCAAATATCACTTCATTCGAGAATTAGTTCAGAATCAGGTCATTGCTTTAGATTATATCTCCACTGAATTTCAGTTAGCTGATCTGTTCACTAAACCTTTATCTGCTGATCGATTTACTTTTCTTTGCTATGACATTGGCCTGCGGTCACTTGAAAATCTTCACGATTTTCTTACTAAATGATGCCTTGCTCTGTCTTTCCTTTTGTGTGTTTATTCTTAATTGATTCAGCTTCCATGTTTTGTTTATTCTCGTTTCCCTCTTTGTTTGCTGATTTTTCGGTTTCTGCATTTTTTTTTCCTCCTTTCTGTGTCGACTGGTTTTCCTAGCTCTTCCTTCATCGTCAACTATTTATACCCTGTCATCTTGGCTGCTGTGCCCATAAGTTGTTAGTTATCCTTCCCTCTGCAACCATGAACTATGTTTTCTCTAACCTATACTGGTTATATCTTCCCTGAGCCTATTTCTTTCAGTCGTCATAGGTTTGCTCTAGCTTATGAAAATCGTCCCATTGCCTCTCCCATTCATGTTCATCTTCCTGATTTTATGGATTTTGGACTTGATGTAAGGGAGTTCATTCATAATCTTGGCTGGGATTTTCTTCTGCTAGATCCTCCCTTTCTGATCTGTCCTGAGCTGGTTCGCTATTTTTACTACAATCTCCGCTCTTTTGGCCTGCACAGTCGCTGTTTTCCACTGTCATTTATGGGCATCTCGTTACCATCCCTGTGCCTGAGTTGGCTCGTCTTCTTGACATTCCTACAGTAGGGGAAGTATTAGCCCATGAGTCTGAGCTTTGGAGATACAATTTCAATATCGTGGCTGAGTTTGTTAAGCTCACTAGGATTCATCCTGGTCCTGCAACTTCTCTACCTGTCGCATCTGTTATTCCTCGGCTTCGTGCTCTTCACTTTGTGATCACTCGAATTCTTCTGCCGCGCACCCAATCCTTAGATCTAATTCTTCCCTTGGATTTGTGGATCATGGCCCATGCTGCTAATGGAGTCCCGTTAGACTTTTCGTATCTCCTGTTTGGAGTGTTCATGACCTTTGCGGACTCTAGCTTTCCTGGCTCTCTTCCTTTTGGCCCACTGGTCACTCACTTGATTCTTCGCCTGGGGATTTCCATTTCTCCTTTTCGCACGGAGCAGCCTTCCTGGTTCTTTCTTATTGACCAAGTTCTTGACGAGCTTGAGATTGCAAACGAGGAGGAGATGGCTGTTGCTGCTGAAGATGTTGCTGCTAAAGATGTTGATCCAGAACCTGAAGGTGAAAATGATCCTGAAGAAGAAGTCTTTGAAGAAGAAGAAGAAGATGATTATCAGTTTGAAGCTGCTTTCATTTATGGCCCTGCTAGACTTGTCGATTACAGTTCAGATGAATCCTTTGATGCCTGATCTAGGGGGAGCTTAATTTTAGGGGGAGATGTCTTTTTGATATGATTGATAGTTTTAGGGGGAGATGTCTTTTTGCTATGATTGATTGATTTCGGTTCTTGTATTTGACAGTGTGGATTTATGTTTTTGATATGATTGCTTTTAGACCTTCTTCTTTTCTGTGTTGGTTGTTTTTATTGTTATGCTCTGTGCTCGAAAAGTGTTCTTTTGCAGGTACTCTTTCATTTGCAATCTCTGATCTAGGGGGAGATTGATGGACGAGATCAGAGCTGGCAAATGTCAACAAGGAAAGTGTTCATCTAAGAAAAGGAAGGTGTTGATTTTCCTCAAACGGCTAGTAGGTCTAACGGCTAATTTGGAGCTCTATATATTCTGTTCCTTCTTCATCTTTCGGTTTAACTTTTACGAAGAAGAACATTGGGCGGTACAGGGCTTATTGTTTAAAAGTAAAAGGGTGTTTTCTCCAGGGGTATAGGATCCGAGAGAAGTGGCTGATCATCTTTGCAGAGTTTTGGGATTGAAACTCTGGTTGTCTTGTTGGTATTAGTTAGAGTTAATTTTCTTTGTAATTGTGTTGATCAAAGCAAAAAATCAATAGTGTCTCTCGGCAGTAGTGGTGACTATTGCCGAGACGAGGACGTAGCCATTTTTAGGTGAACCTCGTTAAAAATCGTACTGTGTTCTCTCTGTCTTTTAATTTCTGTCTCTTCCTCTTGGAAGACTGCTGTTCTGCTTCTGTTCTGGAAAAACTTATAGAGTTCAACTCTGATCTTCATTTCCGAAACAAGAAGGGCCAAGGGCTCAAAAGCCCATTCGTTATTATTTCTCAACTAAACAACTGGGCCTTTCTTTAACTTCGGCCCACTTTGTTTAAGTCAAGAGAATACAGACTTAATACATTGACTGCAGTCTTCCCTGTCGACATTTCTTCTTTCCCTTTCCTCTTTTCCAAATCGAAACCAAATCCCTAGTTCTGGATCGACCTTCAGAATATATACCAAAATGTGAGTGTAGCGGTTTTTCGGCTGCATATCGCTACTCACTCCAGCAATCAGTCCTGCTTTGCTTGTGTGGCGAGCGATTAATACAAATCGTGTTTGAGATATTTTGATGTATGTATTTGTATGTTGGGAATTAATTTTTGTTAACCTTGGGGGAAAAAGTGCCCAAAACAGTAGCTTTCGAAGAGAAAATTAGCATGATGATTGAAAGCTCATGCGTCAGCACCAACGCCACTATGCTGATGAGGAAACGACATCCTAATTAAGGCTAGACATGCATGTCCCCAGTCTCCCCGACAAGAACGTCAAAAAATAATATTGGTTTATATATGTAGTATAATGCATACTGATACTGGTTGGGGCTAGACATGCTCCGACAGGGCCCCGTCCCCCGGGAATTTTAAAAAACATATACAAATCTATAGCAAGTTCCTCAAATTCTGTATGAACCAGGGATAATTTAATTAAATTTATAAACAACTTGTTTCCATCATATATATATATATATATATTATAATTTCTCTACTTCTTTTGGGCAGTCACCAGTCGTCAAGGTTTTATTGGACAACAAAACAATCGATATCTTTCCATTTCACAAAATTAAATGATACATAATCTATGTTTGGTCCGGTTTTTAGAAGTGTTTTTCGGTTTTAAAAGCTGAAGCAGGGCCAAACACCTCTAAAAGCTCGACTATTGAAAAGCCGAAAAGCGCTTTTGTATAACATAAAAGCAGAAGCTCCGATTTGCAGCTTCTGCGAAAAGCTGTTTTGAAAATACAAGATTATCCTTACCATATTTTAATTTTATTCAAGAAAATATAATTTTCCTTCATTTATATCATTTTAAAAATAAAATAAATTATAAAATCATATTATTTAATATAAAATAAATCTAACAAGATCCATTTTGACTACTTTTTATTGTTTAGAATTTTATTCATATTTTATATTATAAGTCCTTTATAGTCATTTTACATAATCGCTCATATTAAAAAGCACTTCTAATAGTTTTACAGAGGAGCAAATCGGGTGAGTAGGCTTATGGTGAGTAACCATGAGTAACCCATCCACATCAGCATTACATCAGCATCCCTCTCTCTCTTGGAAAGCCTTTAATTTTCCCCACCTTAATATTTGATGGACGATTTCTCACTCGCTTTAAGTCGAAATTTAATTTTTTTGCACAGTTAGATCAGATTAATTTTGCTCTTCAAAATGATATCCACTTTGATATATTTTTCAAACAAAAAATTGAGTAATTTTTTAGCAGTCTATACCATATGGTATTGAGTGGTATTGAAATAAGAGCATACCTATGGTTTGAAAAGCATACCATGGTGGTATGAACAAACCAAGACTGTAGGATGGTTGAATATATGATAGTAGAAGTATATTAACTGTCATTTACGACTTTTAACATTGTGTATCACAAGATACCACCCCGTACCAGGGTGGTATTGTGTGATATTTTTTGGTCCTGTAATTTGTTCACCCAGAAATTTGTAGATCCAATAGATCATGATGAACTCGTTTCTTCTGTGCAAAGGTTTTCAAAAACGAATTAGAAACGAAGAAGATATCATATGGTATGCAGTTGGTACCGAGAGGCAAGAAATATTTTTTCTAAAAAAATATTGAAAATCGAAATCATTTTGTATAGCTCAACGAACTCGTTACATCTATGCAAAAAAATAAATTAATTAAAATCCGAGTTAAAATGAAGAAGATATAAGTCGATTAAGAAAGCTAGAGAAAATAAAAATGACATTTAATTCTCCATCCTTAGATCTGGATTTTCTAAATGAAGGGTCCAGATTTAGTTATTGATGGTTATGCACCCTATCTTGAGCCGTTTTATAGCCAAACACTAAACTGTTTTTTTTAAGTACTTATCTAAAAGCTCCAGGCAGAAGGTGCTTCTGCAAAAGTTATGGCAGGGCCAAACTAAGCTATATTATCCACATACAAATATATAGTGGTTCTATTAATTCATATTACAAATCAGTACAATAATTAAACAAACTTTACTAACAAATACTTAACTTATCCTATATTACAATCAACCCTCCTCAAGTTACAGCATGTATACGTATATCTAAACTTCCGAGGTTGGATGTAAGACATGCAAAACCAGCCGAAGTTAAAGATTTGATAAGCAATTCAACAACTAATCAATGTTTCATTCCTCTAAACTATGTAGTTATATTAGTAGGCGTTTTTCGGTTTTCTTATCGGTTAATCACTAACTGATTAGTTGGTTAGCGGTTAACCACTAAGCAAAATAGTTCTAACCAAAATCGAATCAATAAGAAATTATCGGTTATCGATTAACCATTAACGACCTTTGTCGGTCTGGTTATCGATTAAAACAGATAATCGACTAATTGTTTACCGCACCTAATTATATATGTAGGAGTTCTCTCCTCATAAATATCAGGCCATATACATTAACAACTACTTCTCTCACTAAGTCTTTATATGTTTCTTTATTTTCCCTTCAGACCCCTCCGGGAACACGTGAGGAGCAAGCTGATAGGAGGATATGTCCAACCCCTTAAGTATCTTGGACCCAAGCGACATTTCATTTTAAGGGCTCAAACAATTAGCGTACTTCGTGTAGTAAAAAAATCCGAAGTTTAAAGAGTGTTTCACTTTGAAGAAGGCGCAAGAGAAGGACTACCCCTGAATCGTCCCGAATATCACAACAAAATCCCACCTAAGGTCCAAGTATAAACCTTAAATGCATGCAATATAGGGCAAGTATGTTTAAATATCAACTTGGGCCTGTCCATGTACCCCTACTTCCATTGTTTGAAACATTATCTAGCGGATTGATTTTTTGTTGAAAACTATGAGATTTAAATCGAAACAAAGCAAAGGTAAATGGTTTGAAAAGCTCTAGATGAGAAGGATCACTCGGGTGTTGCTTCCCCCTAACTACTACCATGTCATGTGAACTCGATTGGGACGTTATGGGTAAGGCAATCATGAACTGCTAGGAGGTGCAACTGTGGTCGAAGAATACACTCTCATTTGCCAAACCAAGGGATACATTATAGGCTACAAGAGTAGCCCTCTTGGTTAAGGCAATTAAGGGTTGACTTACCTTCTCTCTCAAACCGATGGTTGGACGGCTTAATCATGATTAACCTAGTTGATTAATTTAAGATAGAGGTTTGTCCTACATTAACCTAGGTAGGTGGCTTGTAAAGCCTAAGGAATCCCAACTTAATAGAGCTTCTTTTGGAAGGGGGGGGGGGGGGGGGTTTCCCCTCTAACCTAGGTTAGAATGGCCAATTGGATTGCTAATCACACACACATGCATAATCATCATGAAAAATACCTCAATTATTATTAAATTAAACTACAACTCATAAACAATCATTCAAGTCATACTACAACTACATGGCAAATAGTTAGGGTTTCACAACACCCAAGTGAAAAAGAGTACTACTCCATGCTAGAAAGGGGAAGAACACAAGAAAAAGAAGTACAAACCATCATGGTGATGCCTCCAATCTCCTTTGAACTTGTGTTGATCTTCTCTTGGAGAGATTCTTCCCAATTCACCACTTGGAGCAAACCCTATCATTCTTTCTTTCTTGGTTCGTCCTTTCTCTCTCTAAAATATGAAGAAGAAGACACTTTCTCACCCTTGGGCTCCCCTTCTCTCTTCCTTTCAACTCACGTTTTATACTGGTATCGGGCTCAGTTCACGGCCATGAACTCTCCAACGTGTCCGTGAACTCAGAGCGTTGTGTCAAAACGCACCGTTTCACTCACATGAGTTCATGATTTGCACTCAAAGTTCACGGTCTTGTTGACTGTGAACTCGCCTTGCGTCAGTAACTGCAGAATTCTCCCTGTACGCTTCGCGGTTCATGGTTTTGAGCTTCAGTTCACGACCATAGGAGACCGTGAACTCCAATGGGGAAACGTGAACCTTGCCTGAATCACCTTCTTTGCCCCGTCTTTGCCCCTTTTCGTCCAACTTTCGACTCTGGGGCTGGTTACACCTGTTGGATCCTGAAAAACAATAAAACGAATAAAACTTAGCGTAAAACCACCCTTTAAGGAGTTTAAATGCCACAAACGCCCAAGGGAAACGAGGATAAAATGTGTGCAATTAGACCCGAATCACTCTCACACACTTAGACGTTTGCTTGACCCCAAGCAAACAATTTCACACAAGGTAATATCTCAACCTATCAAAATGCTTTGGGGACAAATCAAAGGGCAAAAAGTGGCGAATCTCAAATGGTTATTGGCAATTAACACAAGGACCGTTACAAGCAATACCGACATCCACCCCAAACGA